GCCTGTAGAGAACTGTGCAAAACGTAGTTTTTCCCAATCACAATGACGCCATAAATGTAGCAAAATCACACAGTACATGAAAACATCTTAACCCTTTAAAACCACCCGTGTCATATTTCCTACATGAGTTTGGTTTTTTTTTTTAAACTTCTGCATCATCAGCGTGAAATAAATTGGAATTTTTTTCTAAGCATTAAAATAACAAACAAATGCAGGATGTAGCAAATATGACACAAATGAAAATTATACTGAATTTAATATTTAAGATTTTTTAAAAATGTCATCAATAGGGTCAATAAACAGTCCATTTTCAAGAACAAAAAAAGGATCCTCTAGTGTTGTTCAGGCTTTAAAGGAATTTTACAGCTTATAGAAGCAAACAATTTCAGCCAAAATGGGTGAAGATAATAAAATACACCATTTTAGTATGCAATGCTTTATAGTTTAGGGTCACACAAATTAGGAAAATGCTTTAGTTTCCATTGGATCATCTACAGACTTGCACACTATGAGTGCTCTTGTTTTATTATTTAATTTAATTTTAATTTTGAAGCCTTTTGAGTAATTTAGCACCAAACATCAAATACAGAAAACTGCTGCTATAGAAAATGTATGTATAGGGTTCACAAGAACTCAGTATAAAACTATCATCAGTTAAGATGCTTTTACACAGCTTAGAATATTTGTAAGATTTATTATCTGGACTTTAAAATATCTTGATTTAATTGTCTTATTGGTTCACAAAGTCATTGAAATTTAAGACAGATGAAGGGTTTTGTTGGAAAACACGGCTCTGCTATATATTTATTTGCATAACTGGCATACTAAAATGACAAAACATGTATTGAATTATGGTTAAGGTAAAGTATTTCAGTGTGTGGTGTTAAATGTTCTTTTTAAACAAGAAAAACGAATACAAAGAGTTTAAAGAACAGACAAGCTAAAAAGTTAAATTAGGCTGCATTGTATGAAACCACCCAGATAATGATGATGGTAATGAAGCTGACTGTTATGAAGATGATGTAAAGGATGAACAGCAGGCGGTCTATGATTAAACCTATCTGGATCCATTCCTCTGTGCTCAGGCTTTTGCTCAGATGCTGCTCCACCTGAAGGCGGATGGCCTGGAGGACTCTGCCCAGGCTCCTCAGCTCTTGCAGGGTTTTGTCCTCACCCAGTGGCCCCTTCTGCTCCAGAGTCTTGGATTCCTCTGTCACTGGAGAGTAGACTAGCATTTCTATTGAGCGGAGACAAGTCAGAAAATTATGTCAGCTTTGACATTTTTTAAGAATTTGCATATCCTGATCTTGTTTCCTACCCTGTGTGACTGGATTTTGGATCACTGTGTCGTTTCGATCTTTGGGCTTTGGAGGAAGGCATACTAGTCGACCCAAGATTTTAAGAAAAAGCACTCTGATCCAGCGAGGAGCTCGAGAATAGTTCGAGGAACCGTGCAGGAAGCTTGTAACGACAATAGTTTCCAGTAGACTGCCCATCATCATAGTCAGGCACATAGAAAGGAAAACATCTATAAAAATGATAGTGGAATAATAATTAATGTTCACATTTTACAGACAAATACAAGTTAAATCCAGACAAAATATTTAAAAATTAAAATCATGAATATTT